CTCAATCTGCTGTTAAGTCCATTTAATGAAGTTTTCATTTTAGAATTTTTATTTCTAGTTTTCATTTAGTTCCCTTTGTAGTTTAATTTCTCTCTTGAAATTTTTCACTTGTTTACTTATTATGACTATCTTTTTCTTTAAAGTCACTTCTTACAAATTCCAACATCTTTGCTGTCTAATGTCGTTTTTATTGACTTCTCTTTTTTTCTTGATTATGGGTCACACGTGGTCTGCTTCATCACATGTCTGGTAATTTTTTTTTAATACTACAAGGTATGTTATTAGGATACATTGTAAGGAGTTCGGATCATGTTGCTTTTCTTTAAAATATATTGAATAGTGCTTAGAAGGCATTCCACAGTTCAGCAACATCTTTGGTCTTTCTAGCTTTAGGTCTGTTTTTTGTTAGGTTAGGTCAACTTTGGCTGTTACCTCAGTGACACACTATGGCCCTTACTCTAGGGAATTGTTCTTACTCTCCAAATGGTTTTTCTGAGCTATCAGGGCAATACCAGAGGTGCTCGATGCAGTTTTTTTTTTTTTTTTTTTTTTTTTTGGAAGGGTGGCAGAGATAGAACTCTCACAATTTATAGCATTCCAGAACTACACGACTTGTGTTATTTCATTTCATTCTCAGCCCTGGCTACTATTATAAACCCTTACCCTGAGCATACATATTCCAGCCCTTAGTCAATAACCCATATTTAATTTCACACAAATTTCCCAACCTACCAGCTACTCACAGAATACAAACACATATACATCAATTTTCTCTTTGCTCTGGCCTACAAATTCCAGCCACTTCAGGAGCCTGGAACTCTAATCTCTGCCACTTCAGCTCAGTGACTATCAGCTCCATGTCCCTGACCTATGGAAGGAACATGTCATGTGAGAGATGGGAAAGTTCTTCTTCAAAGTTTATATCTTAGACTACATTATAAGGAGTTACGATCTCTTGCTCTATGGCCATTATCTGCTATTAGCATAAACATATACCCATGTATATATATTCTCTAAATCAGCTACATCTTAAATCAACTACCTTGACTCATTCCAGCATGTCTGAAGAGAACTGTGCAAGCTCCAAACCCTGGTACATGCTGTTCCTTATTTGGAAACCCTCCTGACCTTCTCCTGCCTAGCTTCATTTTATTTCTGTCTTCTTCCTTGTCTTCTTTCCACTTACCTATTCAGGAAATTTCCAAGTTTTTAGCCAATTGGGTCAAGCATAGAATGTGAGGTCTCATTCCGGCCAATGGAAACTGGACACAGCAGTAAGGCGATTGCGTCAGATTATGAAAGTTATAAATGTTCCTGTCTCCTCTGTTCAGGTGTGCTCTTGTGGTAAGACTGCCAGGGAGTGGCATCCTTTCTGCAGGAAGTAAACTAGCCTTGCTGAGTGATCCATTGCCTCAGTGTGGATTTTTCCCAACAATATACACCTGTTTCCAACATGTCACAAGGCAGGGAGAGCCAGGACATTTGTGGAGCATACCTCTTGGGTTTTTCTTCTCTCAAGCATCACAGTATCATGTTGCTTATTGTTGAATTCTTGTAAAGAGTTGCCTCATGTAGCTTATCCAGTTATATTATTCCTTACAGTGGTATAGCATATACAATAACATTTATTCTGTAAAGGCTAGGAGTAGAAATCTTCCATCTTCCATTTTAGAAGAGGAAACATGTCAAATATGTAATTTTATCATTAATTGTTTTCATTGTACTTGCTATGAAGGAGAAACATAGAAAACTATGGGCATCTGTAATAACTGTTCATAATCTAGTTTGGTTTGCCATATAAGGTGTTCCTCAGAAGGTTAACATTGAACTGAAATCTCAGGGATGAACAAGCATTAACTAGAGAAAGAGAAAGTAAAGCAAACGTTTAGATTCAGATAATGGCATGTGAAAAGGCCCTGAGAAAGTGGGGAATATGGTATATTCAAATAAGTGAGAAAAAAGATTATCTAACATTTGTTGGGACTGCATTATGTGACTGTCACTATGCTAAATGCTTTATGTATTATTTCATCCGATCCTAACTTTTTGAAGTAGATACCGTGACCCGCCCAATGGGTTCGTTTTGTCTGCTGACCAGATAGAGTCAATTTATCAAGACAGGAAAAATGCAATTATGAGTTTAATTCATACAGAGCCAGTTGAGCAAGAGATCCAGAGTTTTATTATTCCTCAGATCGGCCTCCTTGAGAATTCAGAGGCTAGGATTTTTCAAGGATAGCTGGTGGACAAGGGAATGGTGCTGCTGATTGGTTGGGGATGCAATCTAGGGGTATGGAAAATGGTTCTCATGCTGAATCTGCTTCTGGGTAGAGTCACAGGACTACTTGGCAGGTCTGGGTGAAGCCATTCATTGTCAGAAATGCAAAAACCTGAAAAGATCTCTTAAGAAGTCAACCTTAGGTTCTACAATAATGATGTTATCTGCAGGTGTAATTGGGGAAGTTGTGAATCTTGTCACCTCAGGAATAATGGCTGGTAGTAGTTTATGGCTATACCTTAGCAAAATTTGGGCTCCTTTCATCCTCCTAACCTGCTGGTCTTTCATTAGCTTTACAAAGGCAGTGTAGTTTTGGGAAAGGGCTATTATCATTTAAACTATAAGCTAAATTTCTCTCAAAGTTAGCTTAGAGAACAGGGGAGGGAAGGAGGAGGTCTCTCTTCTCTTAGGCAAGTTGGAGACACAAGAGGGAAAGTTGGCCAGAGGAATGTGAGCTTGAACTGAGTTTTAAAGGCTTCACGAGGCCAGGCACAGCGGCTCACACCTGTAATCCTGGCACTTTGACAGGCCATGGTGGCTGGATCACTTGAGTTCAGGAGTTTGAAACCAGCCTGGCCAAGATGGTGAAACTCTGTCTCTACTAAAAATACAAAAATTAGCCAGCCATGGTGGCATGCACCTATAACTCCAGCTACTTGAGAGGCTGAGACAAGAGAATTGTTTGAACCCAGAGGTTGCAGTGCACTGAGAATGCGCCACTGCACTCCAGCCTGGGCAACAGACTGAGACGCTATCTCAAACAAAACAAAACAAAACAAAACAAACAAACAAACAAACAAACAAAAACGCTGCAGGGGATGCAGAGGTTGAGAATTGGTGAACAGCTGACAAGACAGAGGACATAACCTGGCAGGAATTTTTGAAATGGCGTAAAGGGGAGGAACAGAATTCTTGTATGGGGAGCTAAAGTAAGACCCTTATGACCCAGAAGAATTTACAAAGGAGAGAGTAGATGTTTTCATCCTTCCAGAAATGGAAAACAAAGAAGCAAACTATAGGGTCTGTTTTATGTAAACTAGATTTATTTTACAAGTTTAAAAGGAGGGAAACATCACACATGGGGGCCTGTCAGGGTTTAGTGGTCAAGGGGAGGGAGAGCATTAGGACAAATACCTAATGCATGCTGGGCTTAAAACCTCAACGCTGGGTTGACAAGTGTAGCAAACCACCATGCATATGTATACCCATGTAACAAGCCTGCATGTTCTGCATGTGTATCCCAAAACTAATATTTAAAAAAGCTTACTTAGATACTAATCTAGGAAATGAATCATCTTTAGATATTCAAAGTGAATTTGTTTACTCATTTGCCAGACATTTATTGACCTTCTGTTATGTGCTAGACGCCCAACCAGCAGTTGATAAGACATTTCGTACCATGTAAGTGTCAGTGACAGAGGAGGGTCTGCTTCGTGAGTTCTGGCAAAGGCAGGAAGGATGGCACATCATCCAGTAGTGGATGGCCCAGAAAACAGGCAGAGTGGTTGAAAATGCTGTCCGAGACTCAGGCAGAGCCAGATTATACTTGGGGTCCTTGATAGAAAAATAACATGAAGCTTTTAGATCAATCAAAGGAATGATCTTATTTAATTTGTATATTTACTACTTCGTTTTGTCACCCCACCCTGCACACACACAGGAGTTTAGCCAGTGGACACTGTTGGTGGGTGTAACAACCCCAAAGGAAACTAAATCAGTAGACTGTGGTCAGGACTTTTTTTATAATTTCAAGATAAGAATTAGAAAAGCAACAAGTGATTCATTTGCCAGATTCATGTTATAAAGATGGTACAACCTCAGTTTAAATTGGTTTCTGTGCTTTATCTTTGACACCTTTCGGACTGATTGGGGGGAGGCAAGTTACCTATCAACATGACATCCAAGCGTCTGAGACCTCAGGGTGTGTAAATTGATGCTGACTTGGATAGCTGGCTCCTGACACCATAAGTTGTTTCACCAGTTTGCAAGCTCACCTGTCTGGCTGTTCCTGGTTTTTCTTGAGTCATCTCCAGTGATCTGCTGTCACACATACTGCTCCGTCTATTCCTGGGTTAATGTTTGACAAACTCGTCTTGCTTCTTTCAAAATTACACTGTTTGAAAAAGTTCCATTCATTAGTGTCCACATGTAAAAAATGGGCAAGATTGTCACATCTCTGGGCATGTCAGTATATGCTAATGAAGCTGCATATTAAGGACATTTATTTTCTCATTTTCAGGAAGGCAAAGGTACTAACAGGTGATTGTGGTGTGAATGATTTATGAGAAGCATCTATCTCTGCTATAATCAAAGATGTGGAGCAATAACAGAAAACTGTCATGTGGGCCCTTAGTGCTGGTTTGAACATTGAAATTTCAATCCAGTCAACTCCTCTGGTGATACTTGTTTTATCCCTGATCTAAGGGCCAAGAAAAGCCACCAGATTTAATTTTGCCATTCAATAGATATATTTTGCGATTCTGCTTTCACTTGTTAATCATTGTTTTCAATATAATATTTAGGGAAAAAAAAACTAAATGAGAAGAAAAACAGAAACAAACATTCTTTTTGTTCCTTTTGGGGTCCCAACCCACTGCTTGTGATTGCCTGAGTGGATGGCTGCATCCCCGATCCTACCTGCCTGGCTTCTCTGATAAACCCCACAGCACATCCTGTTTCTCCCTGCAGACAGCATTAACAGAACTGACCCTGTATCTTCTAGGTTTCCTCTACGCTCAGAACAGCACCAAGCGCAGCATTAAAGAGCGGCTCATGAAGCTCTTGCCCTGCTCAGCTGCCAAAACATCGTCTCCTGCTATTCAAAGCAAGTTTGTTTGTTTTTTTTTTTCCTCCAAAGCTCTTGTTTGTTTTGTTTCTTTAGGTCTGCATGCACTGCACTTCTCTGCTTCTACAAAAAATCAATATATAATATTCTACAAAACCAACTCTGTTGATGTACTTGTGTTTACCTAAATACCCAGGAGAACATTTGGGCAATTATGAAGCATTTTACATTTAGCAGACTGAGACAGCACAGTCTTAGTGACAGGAGCCTGTGCTGTGGAACACCGGGACATTTTTTGTTGGATCTGAAGGATAGGGACTAAGTAACTCTAGAAATTCCTATTGTTTGACTTGTTAGCAGAGCCGCTGGACACTTTTACCGTGTTACATTGTACATTGTTTGACTCTCATGCACTGCATGTGTAATTTAGACACTGCCAAAATTCAGAAATATCACTAGATTAGAAGAAATATTACCAAGTGTCAAACATTCAAATAAATGTAACTTTTCTTCTTTGTTCATTCTCTCCCTGTATCAGTCAAGATTCTCTAGAAAAACAGAACCAATGCATAAATGCAGAGCATACACGAAAACATATATACATATAATATAGACACATACATGCATAAACAAACATGCACATATGCACACATGCAAACATATGTAAAGGGGCTTAATTGAAGGAATTGGCTTACACAACTGTGGGGGCTGGCATGTCTGAAATTCATAGAATATGCTGGCAGCTGGAAGCTCAGGAAGGATTTGATATTACAGTTTTGAGCCAAAATTTCTTCATGAAGCATCAACTGATTAGATGAGGCCCACACACATCATTAGGGTAATCTATGCTTAACTTAATGTCAACTGATTATAGGTGTTAAACACATCTACAGAATACCTTCACAGCAACACCTAGATTAGGGTTTCATTAAATAACTGTGTACTATAGTCGAGCCAACTTGACATATAAGGCTAACCATCACACTCTCCAGCTTCTCTTTCTCTCCTATTTTGAGGCATTCTTAAAGAGTAGAAAATAGAAGATATCTAAGAGAAATCCTAAATTTATTTTATAAAGATGCTGTATAACTTAGAATGTACATTTACAAATATTCTCTGTGTACAAACATTATTTTATATACAATTTTTTCAAGCATCAAACAACTCTCAGAATTAGAGAAGGTGGTGTTCTTTGCTAGTGAAAAAAGGGAATATTAAAAAGCTAGGTGGAATGCCCTAGGTATTGGGGCTATAACTCATATCTCCACCTACTCTCTTTTTATAATGCTACACCATTTTGTAGGAACTTGGATTCAATTAGTGATTTAAAAATATGAATGCCCTAAAATTTCATGGGTCTCTACCACACAGGTGAGAAAATATGGAAAGAACCCTAAACAGTATGATACATTCAGTGAAAAGGTCTCATAATAGAATAGCAGTTTGTTTCAATGGCACTGACCAAAGGTGATATATCAAAATAATAAGATTTAATTAATTCACTTATTCATTCAACAAATATTTATTATCTGTCACTTCCTCCTCCTTGCACTGGGAGGTAGAGCAGTGAATAAAACAGATTTAAAAACAAAACAAAACAAACCCTCTTCTATTAGAGCTTACATTATATTCTGTGAGGAGAGGAGGCAGAACTAAATAACTTTCCTTAGTCATAATCCCATGTGCAGACAAAAATTAAAATGATAGTTTAGATACATTGCTCTGATTTTTTTTTCTTTCACTGCACACACATGCACACCATCTCACAAATAAAACATAACGTCCCTGGCCATAATCTAGACAAATGCCAGAGCCCTAATCCTACATGACATTGAAGCTGCAGGCACTTTTATTGCCACTGTTTGTCAGAGATTGTTGGTTATTAGAGTCATTGCTTTTCTCCTTTCAGGTTGGAATGAAAATTGCCAATTTATCAGGTACTCACTGAAAACATAGTCATTTGTACAATGTAGACAGGTGAAATGTAACTTTCAAGTAGATCTCTATGTTCAGGTAAAGAAGAAGAAAATTGTCGTGTTTTGCTAGCACTCTTCCTCCATCAGCACCTGATAAAACCATGCCCCCAAATAAGTGGTCACGGAGAATGCAATGTAATTTTCAACTAAGTGTGGGGGAAAAGGATGTTTTGAGGGGGAAAAAATAGAAAATGCTAAAAAAAATTATCAGAATGACTTTAAATCCTAATGGAATTGTATAGAACTGCCTGATACTGAACCTAAGCTAGACTGAGCCTATGATTTGTAAACCCCATAAGTCTCCCATCTCCTCCTCTTCCTCCTTCTCCTTCTCCTCCAGGGCTGGAATGGTGAATCGTTTGTTTATCATGTTTGCAAGAGTCTCTTATATTCAGAACAGTCATTCTGAAAAGTGCAAAGAAAGATAAGAGCCCACACATACATGTGTGCCCCCCCACACATAATCTGCTACCTTTGAAGTAACTACAAATAACTAGTAATACATTTGTTCCTGTTAATGTATGTGTACTAATGATATCATATCTATACCAAATTTTTATTATTTCATTTACATGGTATACTTCCATAAATATCAACCCTATTATTAAAACTTTTGTAAACATCATTTTTAATGGCAAGTATATAGCTCTAGTATAATGTATTTGATCCCATTTTCTGGCTTTGGATAATTAGATTTTTCTGCTTTTTACCTCTCACTCTTAATATAGATAGCACTGTGATAAATGGCTCTGTGTATATATCTATCTGTGCTTTTAAAGTCACTTTCCCCTAAATTTCAAATTATTGGATTAAAGAACTGATTTTTCTGAATACAAGCTTCCCAATGTATATTAGAAAATTTTTCCACAAATTGGCCTTTGAATGTTTTTCAGCACAGCATACATATTTCTTCTTGAGTCTTTCTTTATTTAGGCATAATATTCTCAATACTTAGAAATTATATACCCTTTATAGCCATTCGTTAAATACAGATTTAAACTATTAGTTCTAGTGTTTGTGCCCCAAATGAAAGCATTAAAAGAAACAGCACAGCACAAAGATTTTCTGCTTGAAGAACCATAGACATTCTTAAATGCTTGAAAATTAAATGTATTTCTCATTTTTAAAAAGTCAAAGGCAAACTTATAAGTCCCAAACTACTGTTAAAACACATATCTTGACTTTGATGTTTAAGAAGGCTGTTGGACAAATACCAAAAAGCCTCACCGTCTTGGAAAGGTACCAGGGAGCAACACACGTGGTTCCAAAGAAAGGAGGTGGCAGATCCATGCCGTAGCCAATGGCCTTCTCCCATTGAGCCACCTGACTGGCAGCTGACCAAGAGTAGTAGATATGCTCTAATGAGAATTGATTTAGGTCTTAGAATGTCTTCCTCCTGACACCAGTATTTGCTCAACCAGAGTAAGAAATGAGACAGCGATAGAGGTGGTAATGCCCGGGCTGTGAATGAGGAATTGTCTTGTTCACACTTTTGACCTATCCCACTGTCCCTTAGGCACCCAACTGCACACAGCTCTTTGGACACTCAGCCCAGGATGCTGATGAATGCTCAGCCAGATGTGGTATCCTAATCACCATCACTCTGTAGCACTCACCCTGAGCTTCTTATATCATTCATTGGCATCAAGAGCTGCCCAGTTGCTGAAGTTGGAATCTTCTCTTGCCTTAATGATCCCCCACCCACCATCTTATTGGCTATGAAATTCTGGTCAGTTTTCTCCCTGAATATCTTTTCATTTCACCTCTTCTTTACATCTCTTGTGCTATAGCTCTGAGCTGGCTCATACCTTCATTATCTTTTCCAAGAACTATCGAAAGAGGCAAAGGCAGGCACTGTGGGTTTTAGCATCATCCTGGCATGTGTTTGAATTCCTGTTGTGCCTCTTACTAAACAAAATGCCTGTTAATTATTGTAAACTTATTTATGTAAATACTCTGCCTCTTAATTTCTTTATTTGGTCATTCATTCCACAATATTTTTTAGAGACCATAGAGAGCAGCCATGATACTAGGCACTCACTTTCTAGTGAGGAGTAGAACACAGTTCACTACTTTTCTGGAGTTTATGTAGGAAGAGAGAGAATAAACAAGAAAAAAAAAGATAATCTTGGGAAGTGCTAAGTGTTATAGCAGAAGTAAACATGTGGTAATGTAATAGAAAGGGAAGATATCTTGACTGGGTCAAAGAAACCCTCATGGACGAATGTCTTTTAAGTCCTTAAAATAAAAGGAAGCCAGTAATGTGAAGGTCTGGAGAGTGTTCTGTAAGGAGGAAAGGAGCATGGTTTATTGGAGATATACAAAAAGATGATTACGATTATCAGAAAATGGATTGTCATGGGAACTAAATAAGGTAATCCATGCAAAGTATTTAGTATAGGAAATATTTGAGCATGAATCAATGACAAGTATGAACTCAGCTGATTTTACTGACTACCTTCTTAGGTATGTACATAGAATGACCAAAAAACTGAGGCACAGAGGAAAAAAACAAATGCCCCAATTGGCAGAGCCAGAATTCTGACTCCACAGCCTGCTGTCTTCATCACTTTAGCAGGTGAGCTGCACTGATGACCTCTGATATTGATTGAGGAAGCTCTTATAGGTCTGCAATAGCCACTGTTTTTCCTAATGTAAATCTTCAAATTGGAAAAAAAAAAAAAAAAGAGAGAGGGAGAGAGAGAAAACATTAGCTCTGGCCTTTTCCCTGCAGGAGGGTAGGTTTTACATCCCCAATTCACAATTGAGATAGCTATGGCCTGAAAAGGTTATAATGATTTGAGCAGAATCCCACAACTGAGAAGTTGAATAAACAAAACCTTATACCAAAAAGAACCTTACTCCACTGATACAGATACACTTACTGCCTGTAAGATATGAGACTGTCATACCCCTAGAAGAAGACTTACTGGAAAAATTCAAGGAGAGAGAAAGAAAATTTCATGGCATTGGCACATAAGAGGGCCACCTGGGCTAGATGGTTCCTAAAGAAATAATCATCCTCTTTTAAGTGATTTACAGCATATCATAACAATAGTAGTA